TTACATCCGAAAACATAAAAGAATACATCTCAGTGGAACATTGTTCTAAAAGGTGATGGTAGTGTTAGATGAAAGCTCTGGAGGGACTGGACACCACCATTCAGCGATGACAGTCAACCACTATCATGAACACACGTTGCTGCTCTGAGAAGCCAGCAGGTCTCATCTCATGCCCAAGAAAGGCGGGAGGTATTCAAATCGCCCACGGCGCATCACCGAACCACAGCATGTGTGCTCGGGAGTTTGCCCGCGAACGCACCGTGCTCATCCACGAGTGGAGACCATGAGCACATCACACCCAACACATCACCTTGTTGCCCCCTCTTGGGTCACAGGCCTACGCTACCAAGCCCGGCAGTACCATTCATCGGAGTTCAATATTTAAAGAACCCGTTTCTCTCTTATCAAACCGATGTGGGACATTGGTTTTCTCCCCCTACACTCTCTCCACCATTTGTTAATTTGCTACTACGTGAATTGATGATACAGATAGATGTTTCTAAGACCTATGGAGTGTGTTACACTAGTCATGAATTTTTGTACAATTATACATTTCTGGTTCTAATGGTGTGATATATTGAATCGGATTGTAAAGTTGTCATGGATTGAATGAAAGGTGAGGTGTGTACTTACTTATATCAAGAAGTATTTGACTTTTGACCCTTATTTTCCAGTTATTCTTCCTTTCAGGAAAGCTAACAAAGGCGCAAATTGGATCGTCTGTAATATTGTCCGTGGAACTTGTCCAACTTATTGGATAGTCTGCAAAGTCCTCCTCGCCCTGTGTTTGCTATTGCTGGAGCAAGATGCTGCCTGCTAAGCTGTTTTGTTGCTCCGTGCTGCAAAGATGCCAGTTCTGCTTATTGAATGAATGAATTGCTAAAAAAAAAAAAAAAGGCAAAGAAAGGAGAGAGGACATTGTGATAGAGACCCCACATAAGTTAGAATGCAATCCCATGATATGATAAATTAAGACTTTGTTTAATATGATCTTGATTTTTTGGTAAAACCCTAATTAAGCTATTAATTTATTTTAGATTTTTGATTAAACCTCTAAATTTTTATTAAAGTAAATAAATTTCTAAATTTATTGATTTGAGGAATTTAATCCTTTTTTTATGGTGAATTTAATGTCAGTTTGTGCTTTATTTATGTGGATAAGGTTAATGTCCACCATGTAAATAATAACATGTCAATAATTTATTCATTCAAGTAATGTACAAATAGGTATTAAATTTATTAAAAATTAAATTACTCAAAT